AGGGGGGGGGGGGGGGGGTGCAATTAACGTGGGCCCTGCAAGGGAGAGCTTTGCAAAGACGCAGAGGAGCGGAAGGCACTCCCAGTTCTGGTGTTTGTGAGGCTGGATGGGTGGGACGGGGGCGTGGGCATGCCAGGCAAGGCTTGCGTGCGCCCAGTGACGCACGTCTTCCCCCCTCCCGGGCCCTGGAGGCTTCCCGGATGCTGTGGACGTTTGCTAGGAAGTGGCTGCCTCTCGCCCCCGATGGGGCACCACCCCAGACGTTGAGCTTGCGAGGGGAGTAGGCGGAGGGGCTCTCCCGAACGATGCCGCGTTAAGCCTGCCTTGGGGCCGAGGGCTTCTCTGCCTGGAGCGTGTGCAGAGGACGTTCAGCAGCCGAGCTTGGCTCCCTTGCTGCCCAACATCTGGATGGGCAGCTGGCATGAGCTGCTCCTCTCCCCCCCCATTTCTCTAACCCCAACAATTTGGGGTTGTCAAGGAGGGGAAAAAAGGGGCAGGACAGAAAAGTGTTCCTAATGCTCACGCAAGTGGGTCGCTACTGGCCTGAATGAAGCCCACTGCCACCCCTTTTGTGGACTCTTAAGTCACCCCTTCCCTGAGGACCCCCTCCCCAGCCCTGGTGAGTTTTACCTGGCTGGCTTCTTGACCATCAGGAGGAAGAGGAGGAATGCCTCCCTCCCTCTGCCTCTCCTTGTGGACAGCAGGGAAGGGAATCCCGGCTAACTCATTTGCATACGTTGACACACCTGAAGGAGCCCCTCCCCTTAGGGTTGCCCTCACTGGCCACTAGGGGCCCAGATTCTTGCTGCAGCAGTCCAAATCGGGCAGCCTTCCCCCCCCCCGCGCTCCAAGACAAGTGTTTGCCAGGTACGCATACCTTCCTGGATGCTTTTCAGACTTTTTTCCCCAAAGGATTCAGGATGTGTAATACTAAGCTCCAAAGAGGAATCTGTAATAGGCAGTAGAAAACATACTGGTCCCATAAGGGCTGATATGTTTCTTTTATAGTAACATTTATGCCTCTCTTCGTCACAAGTACGAAGCGACCACAATCTCAGTGTAGAGAGGAGCCAAAGGCCACGCAGTCTAGGCCGCTGTCATATTGGCCAGTGTTTCATCTTCAAAGAGAGAAGGAAGCAGAGAGATATTAAAAGTTAAAAAAAAACTTCCCATTCTTGTCTCATTTTGAGCCTGTTCTCATCCTTAAGCTCCATCTATAAAAATCCTGGAGTCCAGCCTTATGGTAAAAGCCGAGGGAAAATCTGCCCCCAGAGCAGTTGAGACAGCTTTCAGGAATGTCTGGAATTGGGAGGGCAAATGTGAAGCGGGCCAGGGGATTTACACAGCGCTCATGCTCTCGAAGGAGACTTTTTCTACACATTCCAGAGCCGCTGCTGACATCGCACGCTCCAGAAATCAGCTTGTGTTGCAAGAAAACGGATTAGAGCTGAACCTGCTTTGGGTAAGTTTCCGAGGCAGAGGCCTGTTCATTTCCCCACCCTTGGCTAGAAAGAGGATGAGGAGGACGTTGGTAGGACGGGTCTTAAAAAGGAAGCGAAGAAAGGAGTTGGGGGTTTGGGAGAAATTGCAGTGCAAAGGAAAATTCTGACCTCGAGGGGTGAAATATCCAGCTGGGCCCACATACTACACCACACTGCTTTGTTTAACCCCAATTTATTAAGTAAACCGGAATGGGCAGGATTCACACATTAGGCTACTCCCACACTTAACAGATCACCTCCTGGCTTGAGCATGCTCGAAACAGCCCCACCCCACGCAGCCGGCTTGAGGGTTCAGTCCAAGGAATAGGGACCGATGGTGAGGCGGCTTTGGGTTATTTTCACCCCACCGTCTCCAGGTGGTTTTCCATTCATATAGAGACCCTGATGTTGGGAAAGTACGTGGCGAACTCCCATGCCAGGAGTTAAGTCAAAGATATGTGAAACCTTGGGAGTAAAACATCACTTTAGGTTGGGGGAAGCTCTTGGCTTTAGGTCTGAGCCTGGGAAGGGACAGAGCCTATCCAAGAATAATTTCCCCCCCAACCTGACTTTACCTTGAACCAACGTTCAGTTTTCATCTCCCTTTCAAAGACATCTCCTGTGCAAATTTCTTCAATGACGCTGAAGTCACCAGACAGCAGTTTCACACACATTTGGTAACAGCAGCCAGAGCCACTATAAAACCTGACAGGTTTGAAAGAGGTGAAGATTATAAAGAAAAAAGAGAAGCCGCTTGGGAGACCCCAAACCTTTCACTTCGCCTTGAACAGAGCAGTCACAGTGGTTGCCTAAAACACCATCTTTGCGTGCAAAGTTGCTCCTTCTCTGGGCAGATCTCTCCATAGCCTCGAAGAGGGGTTCTTGGAAATGGAACCAAAGGGGTGCTGGGTCTCCCTGAGCCACCCAAGCCCCTCAGGGGATGGCTGCAATGTTAGCAGAGCTGAAGGTCCTGTGGTTTCTGTCGTGAGTCTGTTACACAGTGCCTCGGTTATTATATTATGATTATTTTAATGCGGGGTCTGTGTTTTGTTGATAGAGGTTGATCGTTGTTGGCTGCCCAGGATTATGTATGTGAGACGGGTGGCCATATACCTTCCCTAAATAAATACATCTATAATGACTTGGAATGGGGACTGCATCTGAAGCAAGGTAAACGATGGAGCTGTCCGAGGTCCTGGAGTTGACATTCAAGGCCATTCTAGAGCCCCTTCAACCAAGGGCCACCACCCCTCCCTTGAGACACTGGCATTTTTATCCTCTCGGTACTCCAGCCATCTAAGGCCAGCAGTGGCTTGTCCTGTACTCACCAGTCTGTCACCACTACAATAGGTTCAGCCTCATCCATCAGTTCGTCCCAGTAGCCTTCATCTTTCAAGGCGATGAGCTGGCTCTTGGTGCAAAGGCTAAACCACAGAGGAAGATAATTCAGAATCAAGGCCTGTCCACCTTCTGTCTTTGTCATGTCCACAGCTGGAGGTATTTCTGATTTGATCTCATTGATCTGAGCTCTCTCAGACCGGAAGCTTTTCTGCAGAAGACGCAGTGGATGTCTTCATTTCTCAGAAGGATTTATTTGGGGGCAACTGATGGTGCAAAATGGAAAGCATTTTTTTTCTTTTGCTGTAATTACTGGAATTTCTTACAAGGTGTTCATGGTGCAATATATATGGAGAATTTTACATCGGCTCAAGAATACCCAAAACAGTTCCAACATGGATCCTTACCCGTCCGAGGCAACGAAGCATTTCTTCACCTCCTCCTAAGGAATATCCTCTTTTTTCAAAAGGCGGTTCCGACGAACGGCATCCTTTGCCTGGTAAGTCAAAGCATCTGCTCCAGATAATTCCTTGGTTTTCCACTGGCCATCCTGAGGCATCTTGATGTCCCAGAAGCTCAAGCCCTCTGCAGAAGAACCAGAAAAGAAAGGAGGAGGCAAAAAATAGCAGTTGTATCATGACTAGAAAGAACATGAGAATTACGTTTTTTAAAAGCATGCACAGATTAGCATCTGAACCAAGCTCCTTCGTTGTTCCCATATAAAGGCTTAAATAAAAAAGAGATGCGAACCTGCAAATGGGCAAGGAGTTGCAAGTACCAAATTCCCTGGCTGAGGGGACAGTTGGGGAACCTTTGTAGGAAGTTCGGAAGAAAAAAGAAGATGGTTATCGTAATGACTCTGCATGTGGAAAAGAGTATGTTGAGTCCACATTTTTTGCCTAGCCTTTGAGGAGCTTGTTTTCTACACACGAGAAGGCTTTTTTCCCTTTAAAAGGAGAGGAATTCCTAAATGTGTTTTGAAGTGAGATGATTCCAGCTTTCTTGATGGTAGGTAGGTAGGTAGGTAGGTAGGTTTTAATTTGGCTTTATTGTTCTTGCCTTCCAGAGAAACAGGAGCACACACAGCTTCACCACAAGGATTCTTAATTAGGTTCCTCTTGAGATGGTAGAACAGGTGGAATCCTTTCAGGTACTCTCTGTGTGTTTCCAGGTGGCCTCCCTTCTGTTCATATTTGCATTTCCACAAAGCCGGCAGATCCGCCAGACTCCGCCACCTCTGCAAACCAGCCGACAGTTGCGGATCAGCTCCTGCACCAGAAGCAGAACGAGCACGTCGAGCAACCGGTCATCAGGTAAGTCATCGATGCTTGCCATCTTCCTTGAAAGAAAGGAGAATAACGTGGGAAGGAAATGCCACCGCCCTGAGCGTCTTTGTGGAAAAAGAGACGATGATTGTGTTGGGGGAGAATGCTTTCAACCTGCTTTCCGCAATCCCAGGGCCTTCTAGCTATGGTGGATTAGGGTGGGGGTCCGCTGCCTCTGAAGGGCACAAGGTTGGGGAAGGAGGCTTGAGAAGCAAGAGCAATGCTAGCCGTGGGGAATCATTTCTGCCTCGAGCTGCTCTTTCTCGGCCTCTTTCAGGACTGTTGCTGATCTCTCCGTGGGAAAACTCTAATGCAATAGGCTTTTTGGACCCGTCTGAAAGCTTCCACGCTGGGTGATACCTCTCTGCCCACAGAGTTCCCAAAACACGTGACCAGGAAGTAGGTAGCTGGGAGCCGGGGACAGCCTTCTGCTAGGACTCCCGGATCTGGTTTGTAAACATTCAGGCGGCTGCCGGGGGCAGGGAAGAGTCCGGTCTCCCGGTATCTCTGTTTTTTTCTTTGAGCCTTGCCTTCCTGATCAGGTAGCCCTACTTTGGGAGATTTTCAGAGGGACCCTTATCTGACTGTCCTACGGACGATCTTTCGGCTGCCTCTGGTTTGATTGCAAATACCCTTCAAAAGCTGGATTCCCCCTCCGCCCAGTTTTCTGACCCTTCCCTGTGCGACGGGTGAGTCATCCAGCAGCGGAAAGACGCAGAAGAAAGCCCTGCAGATGTTGGTGCCCTGAAGGCAGTTCTCTGAGGAGGAGGAGGGAATCCCTGGCTCATTTGCATTCAGTGACACCTGCTTGATGTCACACGAACCTTTGATGCCCCAACGGCGTTGTTTGTTCGGCTGCCCTCTGAAAAACTGGAGAGCTAGCCAGCTGTTTTGGGCAATTGAGGCATGCGGACTTTGGATTTATTTCTTGTTTTGAAATCCGATATGGCACCACTTCGGTTTTGCAATGGATTTGTGGAAGCCTCCTACGTGCAATGCCGCCTGTGAATGAGCTTCTTAGTAGCAGCCACCGAGGCAGGATTAAAGCCTCTGCGTTAAGGTTTTAAGAAGCTTTAATCCCTTTCCCTGTGCATTAAAACTGGGTTTCCAAGCTGGGCACAGCACTGAAACTTTTAAATCTAAGAGTGTTCTTTCGAACACATGCGGAGTGCTCTCTTCCCTCCAGAATGCAGCTGGGCTCGCTGGCTAGGAGTTAAAATTCGGATCTTATTTGTTTCAGTCCTCGTAAGACGTGCGTGCTGCACTTTTATCTTCCCTTCCAACAATCCCTCTGTAGATTGGACAGTAGGCTAAAGTTCATGAGTAATAGCGGGGAAGTCATGCCTGTTTTTTAAAAAGGCATCTAAAATTACTTCCTTCTACTGCCGGTGGTTGAGTCAACTTACTGTTTTCCCTTTTGATGAGCTTCAAAATGCCACTCAGTGTTTCAGTCACTAACAGTGGCCTTCTTATGGCATCCCTCCTTTATCCGAATGTTGCTGCCGCTCTGTCTTCCCTTAGACATCCATTCCAAGGAGCATTATGGTTTTCTTTTTTTAATTTTGAAATCTTTATCCCCATTTTCATAGAACTCAAAGAAGGCGTTCAAAGCAGCTTAGAGCCCAGTGTAAAAAAATCCCGAGTGATTTTAATTTTACAAAATAATTCAGAAACATCAGAGGACAGCAAGAGACACGAGACACGTACAAAGGGTTTTCAACTGTGGAAAACTGAGAATAAGAGCAGCGCCTGAGCAGACATTCATGGCAAGGAGATTCCAAAGAAGAGGTGGTTCCTTTCATACTTTTCTCATCACTGTTAACCATTTCCTGCGCTCCGCATGAGGGGATCAGCTTAGTCAACAACCTAAAATAACCTTCAACAACTTGGCCTGGAAGTTCTTACTTTTAAAATATTCAGATCAAAACCAGACTCTGAATTTGCAACAAAAGACTACAGGAGAAAGCTAAGAATTAATAGTGAATATCAATAACTAGCGAGTTGCAGTCGAGGCATTTAACACAAAAAATAAAACTTCCCTGTTCCCTGCGTGTGCTCCGGCTTCGCATTTGTTCCTGCTGTTTTTAAAAACTTGTTTCGACGCTGCTTGTGAAGTCAGTGCTTCGCCTCGGGGAAAGTGTGTGCAAAAGGAGCCTCTCTCACTGTCTCACCCGAAATTTAATGGGCCACAGTCCACAAATTACCTTCACGATCTCTCCCGTTTGCCGTCCCCCCCAAGTCCTGAAAATATTGCCTTTATCCCGTGTAATATTCAGCACCGTTCATGGTTTGTGTATAGGTGTAAACATACAGCTTCAGAGAACAGTTACTCAAAGCAGAGAAAATCCCCCCCCCCAAATGATAGAAATGCTTAAAAGTGCTAAATCAAGAGCCCCAGACTAGGCTGCGTCCTCATCATACTAGATCGACTGTAATACTGCTGTTGGTTACTTTCACTGCTGATCGCCAGCCCACTCTGTGTTCAAAATCGATATAGCGCACGCCAGACGGGTAGTTTTCAAAGGTGTAGAAAACCTACGGAGGAAAGAAACACAGGCGCCGTTTGGTCTGGAGAAAAAGGCGACAGGAGAGAAGAAACTCGCTGTAAAATGCAAATCTACGTTTCGTTCCAGGGCATATTTTACCTCCCGCCATTCTTCCACAGTAGGCACTCTTTCTCGGACTTCAAACATCTTGCAGTATTCTTGGAGGACTTGAAGGTCGGCGGAGAGCAGCTTCACTGTCAGCTGGTAATGGGAGTTGTCAACGTTAAAATACCTATTTTTACCGGGGAGCAAACAGGACAGAAAACAGCAAGCATCCGTCACACCAAGGGCCATTCTGTGCCCCGAAGTAATAAAGAGTGTATCGAACTTGGCAAAGCAAAGCGGTCTCTTTGGGCAGCTTCATAGGGGAGGGAAAAACAGGGCTTCCTCCAGCCTAGCTTACTCCTAGCATGCTACAGAGAGACAGCCAATCTCATTTAACCATCCAATCTGGTCTCTGAGCTTTGGGCGTGAAGAGCCCAGGCTCGCCCCAAGCATATTTGACATGCAGTAAGGACTAGAAACTTGATTTTTTTTTTCTTAAGTGAAATGCAGCACTTGGGGCTGCAGAGTTCTCTTCTCAGGAGAATGTTTGAAAAAAGAGAGTACAATCCCCACCCCACCCCGTTTTTGCAGTCGTCAGTACTCACCAATCCTTTACCGTGATTTGGGGCCTAAATTCATCCATTACCCAGTTCTGGAGCCCTTTGTCCTCCAAGGTGATACGTTGGCTCTTCTTGACAAAAAACCTAGGCAGGCAGAGGTAGAAATGGACATAGGCCATCCTCCTTCCACTGGAGAGGGTCAGCAGCTAGGAGCCCCTGAGCCAAATCCACCCTCTGCAGACAAATGCAGCATCTGACTCTTTGCACAGGCCTGGGGTGGCCTGGGGAGGGGGGGGCCTTATCAGGTACCAAGCCTGGCGATCTTGCAAAGCGACCCATTCCTGGGGCAAGTCCTGGGTGAGCCCCAGAATCCGTAACCAGATTCGAAATACCTCAGACCGCCAATTTGGTGCCACGTTGGTACGAAGCAAGTCCAGACGGTGTCTGGAAGAGGAGATTTGTTCTTCTTTTTAAATATCTTGGGGAAATGCCTCTTGAAGCCTCTCGGGAGATCCTCAGCCATCCAGTCCGCCATCCAGTCCACGGGACGAAGCTCCCAGTACCTCAGCCCCGCTGCGGGAAAGAAGAGAAGGCAGGTGAACAGGAGACGGCCACGTATTCGGATTGGCTCACCCGCTTTGCCGGTCCTCGCCTACGTCTCTGCTTTCCCGCCGGCGGCCTCCTTCCTTAGGCTGTCGAGGAAGAATCGGCATCCGTGACTGTGGGCCCCCAAAGACTTCTTGCGTGCTGAAAGCTAGCTGCTCAGGGAGAAGCGCTCCATCCTCACCTCCCTGTTTGCACACAAGCCGGGTGGTTTCCCTGTCCCTAAAGGGCCCTGCTCCCACGTGTGTCCGTTAATTGCGTGGGTGCCTTGGGAATCGCGGCCAGGGCCTCTGGCCAGCTCCGGAGAGCCTTGCCCCCCGGCGGCGGGGACGAACCTCTCCCGCAAACGTTCCTCAGGAGATTCCTCTTGCTCAGGCTGAAGAAAAAGACCCTCCAGTCCTGGAGGCCGCCCTCCGGCTGCTCCAGGCAGAAGCCCAGGCGCTCGCATTTCCGCTTCCAGACCACCGGCAGGTCCACCAGGTAACGCCACCGTTTGCAAACCAGCCGGCAGCTGTGGATCAGGTCCCGCTTGGGGACCCAGGACAGCACGTCCAGCAAGGTGTCCTCCGGCAGGTCTCGCAGCGTCAGCTCCTTCCTTTCCGGAGACCTGCGGGGAGAGGGCCGCCATGATGACTAGCGCCACCCCATCCGAGGACGCGGAGGGTTTTCGCGGGAAAGGGGCAAAGGGGCGTCGAGCTCCTTAAGCCGCGCCGGGGGATAGCGCGGGAAGGCGGGCAACTCTGGACATGCTCAGAGACACGTCCGCTCCCTTCGCTCTTGCCAGGAGCTTGGGGGACGGAGTGAGTTTGGCTCGCGGCGCCCTTTGGGGGAAAGGACGGGGTTC